AAATACAAATAACTGCTACCTGAATTTATATTTCATTATAGAAGCTCCAAAATAGACGGACAAAATTTAAAAAGGGGACAAAAAGTGGGACAAAAGGATAAAATGTAAAAAGGGGACAAAGTTGTAACAATTATGATTTCCAGAGAATTATGTATTCAACAACGGGTAAGATCATCACGAAATATATATTCCGCGGTGAAGATTTTTTATTCGTACGCTTTAACGTTCTTTTGATGCCAACGGAGGCGGACCTTCCCCAAAGGAGGAAAAAAAGGAATTCGTAATTCATGTCGGCTGCTCCGTACTATGGCACCGACTTCCGGACACTCCCACCTATCATTCAACCAGAACTTTTACGCGAAACACGGGAACCAGTTCTAAAACCAACTATACTTCCGTATTTCAATACAAAGTATCCATTTTAATAACTTACCTATGAAAAAAAAAATCTATTTAAAAATCAATATTGCTCATATATTTGTACAACAAAACAGCACAAATCACGTTTTCACTTCGCTTTATCTGTTACTTTCACTAGACCCCATTGATCAGTTAACCGTTGAACAGCGGAGTCTGGGTCAATATGGACCAAAATTTACAAAACATATGTAAGTAAACAGTGTAGTGAACAGAAAATGAAAATAATATGAAATACAAAATCAAGTTAAAATTGTGGCTCTCTCCATGGTCCGCCGTCCGAGGGTTAATAAGGAAGCATTCTTAATATAGACTGAAATTAATTTCTCACTGCCTATCTAATTATCCTGAATACTGAATCTAAGCTATTTTCAAATCGATACATCAAGTGCCACATTGAACTCGTTAAAATGCAAAACATTAGGTTGTTGCATATCAAATGACAGGCTTCGAAACGTAAAAAGTGTGACATTGTTTGATAATATAGAAGTACTACAAAATGGTACTTATGGCACATCACTTATTCATGTTCTATACGAAGCTGTAAATTTTTTTTAATTTGCTTAACATACGAAATGTTCAAAGTGTTGCAGTGCTGTATTGGACGGTACTCTGATTTTTCGATTGTTTGGAATCTTTATTATGTTGAAATACGTGGCTGATATTGCGTTCAGTTTCAGCGGTTCTTTTTTGCATATACTGATGGCACGATTAACTAATGAAGTGATGAATGAATCTTTCTGTATCGGATGGTAATGGGAACTTGACTAAAACAACACCGGTTAGTTGTCCAATGACCCGGAATATGAACATCGTTATACACAAAGAGTGTACAGTAGACTCTCATTATATTGCCGCCGAGGGGACTGGCGGAACGGAAAACGTGTCAAACTTCCAAGCTCTCATTTGAAAGAGGAAGGAAGATAGAAGTATACCTGTTATCGTACATGGATTAAATCGCGCACGTGGCAATATAATGACGTTCTACTGTACATTCTTAATTCCTGATAAAGTTAGCTGCAATGCTGGTGAAAAATTAGAAATATTTTCTCACCGGATATGATTTACACTTGCAACCTTTAACTAAAATGTTTACTTTAACGTATTAAAATACAATCAACCTATTGATACTATTATAAACAAATATCTACCGCAATAACAATTCACATGTCCTGGTGTTCAAATTTTAATGCATTTTACTGTCCGTTAGTTGCACCGAACCAGAGGCAATATTGTAACACAAAATATTTGTGTTTAACATGCTGAATCTCGTGGGGTTATATACGACCGACACTACGAATTTAATTTAATCAAATAGTCATAAAATAAAAAAAAAAAACATAAAAAATTATAAAGTAAGATAGAGCTATTAAAACAGTGCTAATTAACGCGTTGATTAGAAAAAAAGAAATATTTTTATTATTAAAACAATAATGAATATGTTAGAATATATTATATTCAACTTGTTTAAGTAACTGAATTAACAGGTCAGTAATCGTGAAAAGCCTTGATATTGAGACACAACGTACATTTAAACTCATAGTGCGGCGGGTTAACGATGTTTAATGGTAAACCCATACTTATGCAGTTGATTTCATGTAATGCCACGTTAGCTGCAATATGGAAATTCGTGCTGCGTGAGGATAATACCCTGTCATACTGTGAGTGCCGCATAATATCATATTGCAATATATTATAACCGAGGGGGGCACATTGCTGGGTCATTTTGATTGACCTCTTCTCTTAGTGTTGATGTTTTCTCCCCTTTCTGTTCCCTTAATTATCGTTGTAAGACCTTGGTTATTTTATTAACGATTCTGATAATTTCGTTTCGAAAATTCATATTGCCACAAGAGAATCTTCGGGATACATATTTTCAAATAAAGAATAAGACTTAAGAACGACATAAGTTGACATATTACAAGCAGTCCAAATACGATGCACAAGATTCATGAAAAATGAATTTCAAGAAGCGACTAAGGGGAAATCATAAACCAAGTGGAAAATCGGTTCTGACATTTCATGCTATACAAATTTCTAAAAGAAAATAATCCAACAATCATTGCAAATAATACACAGGATAATTTAAAAAAGATGTATAATAGCTCCTGTATTGATTTTTTAATAAAGAAAAAAGTTATAAAATAAATAAATAAATTAATGCAATTTTTTCATTGCTATTTGGTAACATAATAATCCACCCTGTATATTAAAGAAATTAATGTTTGGTAAACGAAAAAGACCGTAGTCAGCCCGAAGTTCACGAAGTTTATTCGCGATAACGTCTTTTATCTTTTTTCTCAACCGAAAATGATCGGAAACTTGAAATTACATTTCGTGCGTGGAAGCAAGAGTACTAAGTATTTCTTCGAAGCGAACACAACCTTGCGGAGACTTAATATCGGTGTTCCAACGATAATTTCACCCCTTCTAAGCATTTCCAAGTACACCTCAAAATTCGACGTCTCGATAAGAGAAATTCCATGTGGGGATCGTTAACCTATCGTGACAAACCGTGATCTGCACGAAATGTGTACCGGGATGGTGAAAATTCTCTGCTCGACAACAACGAAGTGTCAACCTTTGAAAATAATAATACTTGGCTGACAAATTGAAGAAACAACTTTATGAGACTTTTCCAAGTACATTTCTCATATTAGATATTATTAGATGTACTAATGAATATTCCACTATTATTAACACATTTAAATTAAATTTGATAAAGTGTTGTTTTACTATTGTTAGATCTTAAACTACATTTTTAACTTATTAAATAAATATTATGAATTATTCATTGGTACACTTAATATTATACGAATGAAAAACTTTTGTAAACTTTCAAACTTCTCCCATATGCCGTTAAAGGTAATGGCTCATCCTCGTGCAAAAAGGGACTTTATGGTAATACCATAAAAATAGTAATATGCGGTAGCCACCAAACAGAAGAAAGAAACCGGCCATACACTCCTTCCTATCAGCACTTGTGAAGCCACGAGCATGGAACACACATTCCCATGGGTGCGATACTCATATGAATGACCACGCAGGCAGTCAAAGTGATAAGATATAAGTCGATGGTTGCTGGCCATCCACAGCTATTTGCATAATGTAGACCCTCGTTATATACGCCCATTAACCTCCGCACCCCTTATGTCTCCCGTCTTCAACGGTATCCACTCTGCTAGTCATTTTCCCTCTTCAATGACGAATTTACACCTACCCTTTAGAGCTATCTACAGTAATAATGTTTCATCGCCCATTATGAATGAGAATCTTGTATCGTTTGATGACTTTGTTAATAAAATGGGGTTGTAAGGTACAACCCTTAAATTACATTTTACATCATAAAGCGAAATGGAAATTTTAAATTGTATCATTTCAAAGTCGTTTTATTAACGTTTATTCTAGAAACCCATTTCTTTATACAAAATTATCTGCTTTCTATGAAAACGGGTATAAACGGTTTATTACAAAATTATAAACAAAACATTGTATCAACGGATTAATACATGTGGTGTTTATTATCCGATCGTGACCTCGTATTAATAACATTTAACGTAATTAAACTGATTATCTCGTATTGTCAATTTCTCGTTTCAAAATGTCCTCGTACGCGGATGCAAGCTTCCATTACATTACGAAAATTACTTTTCTGAGAACTTTATCTAGTTTCAGTAGTTGCGTTAATCATTCTTTGCACTGGTTCTTCGTAGAAACCCAATTTATATTAAAAAACACAATTTTGATTGTGAAAGATATTCCTGTTACAGAAGATATTACAGTAAAATACCCACTTCCTATTACTGGTAACAATTCAGTCAGGTAACGGTTGAAATTCCTGTCTGGACAACAAGGAAGTGGTGATGGTTACTCGGTCGATGGGATTCTTTTCACTCAAATCGTGGGCTATCCATTTTCCCAGTTTAGAAGCTTTTCCGATATTTTTTCAATCTGGAAATATGGTAGCAGCGAAATTGAATTTATCGGCAAGTTATTTGCATGTTTCGTACGGATTCAATTCAAACACTGCTTTTAAATGTTTCTTATCAGTACACGATGGATGTCCTGAACGTATCTCATTTTCGAAAATCTATTTTCCATTTAGAAATTTCTGGATTTCTACTAGCAACCTCGTAACGATACTACATCGAAATGAGTGTGAATCGAGTGAATCGACAAAGAAAAGAGTGAATCGTAAAGCAACTCAGCAACATACAAAAACTTTTCGAATAATACAGAGAAATAAAAATGATTGAAGATACAATTTTATTTCAAAATGTTCGTCCCTTAAAGAGATTGATTTTGTTCTGAAAATGGAACACTCGAATTTTCTACGAGCTTGTTGAATACCAAATGATGGATTTCGAAACACAGAAAGTCAGACGTGATTTAACCTTTTGACCCAACGCGACGCGACGTTTCATATAGCCAACAGAAATTTCATAATCTATAAATTGGCATAACTTTCGAAAAACTGATAACATTGTTTGTGGTTCTCTAGATTGCTGCTAAAATAGTTGTTTATTTCAATTCAATTCTTAAATTTCGAAAAACGCGCATTGAAATAAATAATATCAACTCACCCTCTGCTCTGGACCGCTGTGGAAGCTTGTGGATTCTTCCTTCTCCTTAAAACACTTCACGCACATAATCGCAAACAAACTTAAACACGAACTGCGCACGACCGTCATTCGAAATAGAATAAATTCACAAAAACAAGTAAGGCTATACACTACAGTATAAAAGAAATAGAAAGAGAAAAGCGGAAAATTTAAATTCCACCGAAACGAAGAACAATATAAACCAACATCTTGGCGATGTTCGCGATGCGAAGACACGACTACAACTAATCAGCTACGTATCTCCGACGCCGAGCATGTAAACAGACCTGAACTTAATATCAGACGTCAACAAAGAATCTGTTTCCGATAACATTCCTGTCTAGATAAATGTAAACAAACTGTCACAGTGCTGAAGAACCATTGTGCCATTAAAATAGTTTTGTGTTCCATGTATTTATGTTTGGACAAGTAACACGTGGACTCTGACTTTTTTATGTTCTGTATTCTATATGTAAGATTTTTTATATTTCTATAGGTTTTACTAACTTATCAAGGTATTTAAACTAATTACGAACCACACTAAAACTATTAACCAAAACTATTTATCGCGAATTCGTCGCAAATTCGTCGCTGATTCGTCGCGAGTCGCAAAGGCACGTCTACAGTAATGACGGGCGATACAGTATCGATATTTTTAACATGACGATATATCGCTGTATCGATACTTAATATATGAATATCGAAATTTTTATAGAATGTATATACAGTAAGGAGAAAATTAGATAGAAAACTATTTTGTAGCAATAAGTTTCACTTATGTGTTTATGTATTTATATTTATATACATATAAAACACTATAGCCTTGAACTTGATATATTTTTATACATTACTACTAAGTGGAGGACCGCAATGAAAGAACGTCGCAAGAAGTGGAGGGGCTTCAAACTCGTAAGGCGTATAATTCGTCACAGTCCAGTCTCACAATTGGCGTCATTCTCTCTAAATTAGTAGGCTCACTCTCGACTCGAGCATTGTTTCTTCTAACCGCTTTTCCAGAAGGGTAAAGCGGAAGGAAGCGAGAGAAAAAGAGATCCAGGAAAGGAGAATACAGAAGAACGATTCAGCAAAGTCCAAAGGGGTGCGTAGAAAAGAAAGCTCAGAAAAACAGATAAATAATAAAGCCGTTGACTTCATAACGTTACTCATTTTCGACTCCCACATCCCTCTTTTCGCGATTCCTCCTGTTATGTTGAACAATACTGAAAGATGTCTGAGTGGTGGGCTGCCTAAGGGGTTGGAGTTTTAACGACGGGACAACCATGTCCGATTAATTGTGCCCAGAGGACTTGCCAGCTCAAAGAGGATAATTCACCCATGCTATTTTATTCCTATTAACGCAACCTTTGCGGCCACGTTATACAAGGGATGGAGGACTTTCTCAGACTTTTTCACGATTGCATGTCGGACAGATTTAGCAGATCGCTAGCGCGTGAAAGGTCACAGGATAATCATTCAGCGCGGCATTAAATTCACTCGTAATTTTACCAATTGCATTTGTACGTGTGAAACAAGGCTAATTCTGGTATCGATAGTATCAAAATAGTACCCAATAATAAACAAGATACATAAATATCTTTAGTGACTAAAAATATTTCATTTTTAGACATTAATTACTAAATATCTTTAGTAATTATTATATATTTTTTATCAGCTTTTTCCACATTTAAAGAAAATAAATTGAATAAATTTTTTTTTAGGGAAGTCTTACTGGAATAGTATTAAAAATTGACGAAATTGTGCACATCTATTTTTTTATACATACTTCTATTCCTTCTTATCTGTTATTGATTCTTCATTTGTAGTGTCAAACCAAGTTGTATCACTTACCTGAAAAAAAAGAGAAATCAATATTAGTACTTGTTTTATATTTTAAAAACTGTTTTACTAAATGAAAAAAAAATATATTTTTGACAAATATTCTTGAAAATAGAAGAAAAAGTATGTATTAAGGATGTTTTATTTAGTAAAGGAATTAACTATTGTAGTGGGTATTTAATTTTGATTGATCTAATTAGATACTACATAATTACCTGAAGTTCTTAATTCATTATTCGAACCATTATTCATTCAAATCTTAGTACTAGAAGATGTATATCGATTAATCTATTTGGAATATCAACTGATACTTAATAAGATTGATTAAATAAGAAATGACAAAATTTGAAAGATACTAAAAATTCTCATACATTATTATTCACTACCATAAATACCAAGTAATAATTAATAGCTTGTTTAATTACCTAGGACAATTTTTATATTAATTTAAATTGGAGCAAACGATTCGTAAAGCTGTCGTCAATATTATTTAAAGCAATTGACGACACGGGAAAGCGACACTATCAAACCAGACAATCAAAGAGTTGAACGATACGCAAGATTTCGTCGATAGGAACGCAAGCACGACACTCGATAATGATGCCCATGAGAACGAGTCAACTGTTAAGGGGGTGGGTGTCGACATAAAGAGTTAAAGAGGAAGTGTTCGTAGGTCCTTTATTCACTTTAACTAACGAAGTACTGTTATAAAAAATAACAATATAAAAATAATACCACACATTGCGTAATGCATTTATTTAACACGGTATAAGTGCAGAGATTGAATCAAATAATAGTAACATTTGATACGTATTTTTAAAAAAACCCTAAATTGAAAAATTTTAATTTATGTATCACTTATGAATTTTATGAATATTATTGATAATGAAGAAACAATTGAATTAATTTATCAAACATCACTTCAGTAAAACGCATCGACACGATTTACAGTTTTTATAAATTATGCATTTTTCAATTGGCGAGTTATTAGGTAATCTATGTGTTAAAAATATAAATAACCAAAGTGAAATTTCTGCATAGTAAGTATAAATATTTTTATCCATACTAAAATGCAAGACATTTCGTGATTCATAATAACGTAAATGTGATTGAAGCCATTCTTAAGATAAACAGATTATATTAGTGTAAAATTGTTACCTTTATTTTTGATCGCTTAATTTTGATCGCTTACAAGGACCTTATAAAGACTATTATTGTATAAAATAGCTGTCAATTGTGAGTCTAGGTCAGGTTTAGAGAGCACAACTATAGACACGCAACATATATCGATAAATACCGAGCGTAGAGATAGACCGAAGTAAATAATTCAACATCGTTTGCCGCCCGCCAGTCTGACACTCTGTCAGTAAATCCACAGTCGCGTCTCTTCCACCTGCTACTGACCGTTTTACCCTTTCTCGAAACAACTTGAATCAATCAGTTGACCTCCACATCTTGTCATTGATCTGACGGTTGAAAGGCGTATGACAGAGAATGGTCAAATTGTGGCAAGTTAAATCTGAACAGATGGTTCTATAAATTCTTAGGCATCATAAGTGTACAATTATTAATTACAATTAGAGTTGTACAGTAATTCAATGTAAACGTTTAAATAAAATAATTTGATTTATAAAATTTTATTTCCAATAGGAAATTTTGTAGCGTAGCTACTTTTGCTTTTAATTGCGATACTATGTATTTTGGGATATAAACGCTTCATATTAGGGGAGTGTAGTTACCCCTCGTAGCAAAAGGGTTAACTCGTTCCAGAGAAGGTTAATCTATGTACTCTTTGTATCAAGAGGATGGGTTACCGGTTACTTCGGATTCCTGTACCGTAACCAGTGTGTTAACCGGATTCTTAATCAGGTTAGGTGATGGTTAGAATTCCTGACGGGATGTGCCAGGGTCCGCTACACGTCCATTTCATTTTGACAAAGGGAATACGGTAGAAAGTAATGCAAATACTATCTCGAAAATTAAAAAGAAATAACAACACCTCAATGAACAGTGGTAAAATCTATACTTATTGTTTTAAATTTATTAGAATAAATTACACTAATTTCAGTACTCAACCAATCATTAGTTAATCATATTTGAACGTTATCTGTTATTCACATTTTACTAGACCTTCTCCAAACTATATAACAATTTGGTTACTATATTTTCATTGGCTAAAGTGCTAGAATGATTGTTTTATAAAGTGCAATTTGTGTTAAAAAGATAGAAAGGATCATTATCTCTTCAATCACAAAGTTGAAGGCAAACATCTTTCATAATTTACCGTATGAAACAGCAAGTTTCGTGCAATCATATCAAGAAGTATTTCAAAGACATCGATTGATATCGATCAGTCTTATAAACAGTATTGGATTCTTCTACATCTAAACATAGAAGAAAATCTATCACTGAAAAGTGATTTAAGTTTTATTGAAATAATATACGGTAGATAAACAACTGATTGAAAGTAATTTCCTTTTTAATAATTATTTAATACCTTCATCTGCCATGGAAGACAGATAATAATTCATATAAAATAAGATACCTTGTATATTTTATTATTACTTTCAATAAAATACACATTGATAACAGCCTGAATATTAAGCCTAATAATTTTGACTCTACATTTTTGAATATTCCTTTAAATCAGTGGTTTTCAAACTGGGTGCCGCAAGTACTCCTTAATACCAAAAATCCTTTTTTTTAAGCAGCACATTAAGATACATTAATAAAAGAAGCTTAGAGTATAATCGTCGTTATTATAAACGTACACGTTCAGCACTTTGACATAATGTTAGGATTACAAAAAAGACAATGGAAATTTGCATATTCATGGGTCTGGTATTAAAACGACAATATTTAATATAACATCTGCAAATCACAAAACCAGAATTGGACAGAAATTAAATAATTTAAAATACCAAGTAATCCAAATCTTTCTATTCCCTCTATTTCAAATTCTTCTATTCGAAAAAATTTTCATAGGCGAAACAGAATGGACAATCAACCAATGATTGAAAGAATATAAAAGTAAAGTCAGATTAAAATACACTCTTACTTTATCCTGCAGTTCAATATGCTAGAGGATTTCATTTGTAACATAGTTTCCGCAACAAAGTGAATTACAAGTAGAATATTAATCTCAAGAAGGACTTCGGACTTTCAATTATTATTGTGCTTGCAAATAAGACAATCTTCTCTTGCTGCACGGATAATCGAGTTTCAAAACTTACGATCAGCAGGAATTGTCACACTAACTAACAAGAGAAGTTATACATAAATGATCAGCGCTAGTTTCGATGAAACTTTGATGTACAAAACTGGAAAAAATATTTTACATGCATTTTTATTGTATCAACAAACATTCATATTCACAGAATGAAAACAATACCCA